CTGCCCATGGCAGGGGGTCGGACTTGATGATCTGTCTAGGTCCTTCCGACTCATTGATTCTATGATGCTTTTCTAAGGAACCCTTTTGGACTACAGAGTGCCATAATTTAATGCAGATTGCAGGGAAGCTATGATGTACCAAAAACTAAAACAGTACAACACATGCACACACACTTAAACTAGCTCTGAACAAAATGTAAATGTATTGGTATTGCCTGTCTTTTCTGGGGAGGACAGACTATCAGTTATGGGCATGGACACATATAACACTTTGAATGGTTTAAACGTGGTTTCAATCTGAAGTGGATGGACATACAAGCCTGTTAAACTAGTTTAAATCTGCCTGAAATTATTCAAAATGTTACCTGAAAATCAAGTATGAATTTGACCTGGTTCACTGAGAACTGGTACAGTATTTTGTATGGATACTAACCATTCTGTGACATGGGTCTGCTCCGTCCTCCAGGCATTCCACACTGCTTTGCTCTTCAGCCCCCACACCAATATCCTTGCTCCCTACTTGACTGAAACCCATTATCATGATCCCCCAGCCCCTGGGAACAAAAACGCATGGGTCTAAGTACCCCCCACCCCCAAGTCAGGCAAGCCCATTGCAGACGTTGATCATCTGCAGGCTACTGAAATTTACTGAACTTATATTTAGGAAACAAGCGAAAGTAGAATAGTGAAAATGCCCCCAGCCACAGGTCACTCATGCTTGCCCAAAGCAGGAGTGCAAGCACTCTTCTCCCTGTCCCATCCCACTGCAATCTCCCAACCCCCAAGATGCCTGGTGGGCTGTGAGTTCATTCCCACACCCTTACTGGTTCTGTACCAGTGACATTTAGGAACAGTTCAACTGCTCTGTGTATGTATCCACACCGTCACAATATTTTCCTCAAAGCACCTGCCGACTGCACAGGTCTACAGACATCCCCCTGGGGCCAATCGCCGAGCAGGGGAGGTGTGTGGGGGAGTCCCTGGTATGTTCCCTGGTGGACCTGAAAGAGGACTGGAAGTACTTCTGCGTTCACCGCCAAGCATGTGGGGGGTCTCCCTGCACTCCTGTGGGACGCTTCATCTGCCCCAGCATTGCAGCGATCACAAGCTGCGCCTGGTACCTTGAGGTATGTAGAAAAAACTTTTAAAGTTGTGTGTATGTCTGAATCACTGATTCTCTGAATCAGCATCGAATCTTCAGATTCGGATTCGGCCAAATTGAATCAGGGACAGTGATTTGAATCAATGAATCAAATCACTGTCCCTGATCTGGGTCGAATCTGAATCGAAGTTCACACACCCCTAGTACTTAGGTCACAGGAGCCACATCTATATGTTAAAACTAACTGTGTCAAGTAGCACTATCCTCAGGCGTACTGGGTTGCTCCCAAGAACCAGTAGCAGTGTAGTTATATCTGTTCCGGAGGCAGGCTAATTAGCTTGAAAGGATGATGGTAAATAACGCATTTGAAAGAGAATGGTGATAACTGAAGACACTATAATTGCACCAGACTTTATTCCATATGGAGTGATACATTCTGCCTTCATTCACACATGCTTAACTTCAGTTGCACAGGTGGCAGAGCTGAATTCAGTACTAACAAACACATGTTAAAGTGAGAGATTTCATTATAAAGATACCAGCACATAAGAAAAGCAGATTATCAGATTACAAGGCCTGAAAGAATTTTAATCAAGATATAAATAGAATCACACTTGCACAAAGTATTGTTATACTTCCTTGGACACAACACCAAAGAAAGCCAGAATTCTGATTTCAGTGTTTGCTAGAACCATAAGTTTATCAAAGAAAATATTGGGCACTTAGTATAGTGTTGCCATAATAAAACATTAGAGATACTGAACGGATATTAAAAATTGTCATAAACAGTGCTAATTCATGGGATTTGAGTTTTTGTTTTGAATTCATGATTTTACAATCATAGATTATGTGGATTAGTCTCAAATACAACTGTTAATATAGGGAATGGCAGCTGCCAAAGGAAACTGTTGCACTGGCAGGCAAACTAAACATTGTGGAATGATACACATGAATGAGAGAATTTGCGAGTTTGGAAAACACACTGTACTGTTCACGAGGAAGTCTTTGATAAGATCTGGTCTTTGTCCAGGATTTAGAAAGATTAAATTGTTATAAACCAAATCCTGACATGTTTATCATGATTTTCTTTGGTTCTTACATGGGCAAACTTCTCAATAACCTCAGTGGAAGTTCTACCTAAGTGAGGGTATCATGTGATTAATCTGAACTTAATTATGATTTACTTCTAGGTTTATGGTAGTCCTTGTCTTTGTTTTGTTGAAGAGTACCGTAACTTGCATTGTTTCTGGTTTAGTAACTATGATTTCAATTTCTTGCTGGACTGAAGCAGAACTCCTTCATTTATTTTTAGAAAACATAAAAGAGCAAGTGATATTCAAGTGCTGAACTAACTGTCCACAAGGTTCTGAAAAATACTGTTCTTGAGACTGCAATAAATAAGCTGATACAAGGACCTGTTTTGCTCTACACATCTCAAAACATCTGTTAAGATGAGCTGATTTAGAAAACTGCTTCCATAAAAAAAACAAGCTCAACAGCAATTATCAAGATTTTTAAACTTCATAGTTCTCGGACATGAGACACGTCTGAGACCTGCTTCTTGTATTGTTTACCAAAGAGTACAACTTTTGTAAATGCTGTATGAATTCAGTTGACGGTCCCTTTTCATTGACATTTGGAAAAAAAGATTAGGAAAAGAAGAAAAAACACTGTAAATTCTTTGAACACTTGACAAAATATTCTTCGATTTGCATTAATGAAAAACACTGAATACTTACTTCCTTTGCTCTTATCACATCATGTAACAACTTTCCTGCTGGTTAAAAAGACACCTGATAATGGCTGCTATTAATTCCCTCTTACACATTTCCTGTCATGCTGATTTTTCAAAACAAAGAAGAGGCTTTTCACCAGCAAAAGTGAGATGTTGGTTCCATCAGATTTGCACCAGACAGTCTTTCTTATTTTAGTAAGCAACTGTAACAGTGAGTCTTACCTATACAGCTTTCACTTTTCACTTCATATCCTGGTGGACAAATGCATCTGAATGAACCTTCCAAGTTCTGGCACGTACCAGGAGAGCACGAACCAGGAAGCGCCACACACTCATTTGTATCTTAAGAAAATAAAAAGAAATGAAAAAGATTCGGTAATTTTGAAATTAATTAATTCTTTGTGGCCTTACCTTTACATAACAATGGGTTAAAGTATTGGCATCCACAAAACAGATATAAGTTAGTGTCAGTTTAATGTTATGAGCCTATAATGTCTCTCCTGACTTCTTTTCTCTAACAGTCTAAGTCAGGAGTGTTAAATATGCAGCCCATAGCCTGGATGCATCCCATGGAGGTGCTCTATCCAGTCTGCTGGACTACCAGTGGGCCACATGAAGTTTCAGGGTGTGGCTGATGGGCATGGCCTGCTGTAGAATGAGGGACCTTTGGGGCCTGATGGACATGGTACTCAGCAGCAGGAGGGTGAGCAAAGGCAGACACAGACCCATTTGCTTTCCAGCCACTTCACCTGTCACCACTTCTGTGGCCCTCCCTGGCTGCCAGTCCCCACCATGTGACCTGTGCTGGAACTGCTAACGCATGCTCCAGGTTGGAGCTGGAGCTGTCCTCACCACTTCCTCATGCCCCAGGCTGGATCTGGCCTGCAAGGAGCCCTGTGGCCTGGATCTGGGCTGGGGCACAAGGTGAGTTTGACACCTCTGCTCTAAGCTGATGAAGACAAATGACATTATTCTAAAAACTTCCTCACACTTATATCACCAGTTTTCATAATGTCAGTTTTTCATTCTCAATATTTTCACTCATATTAAGACTGTACAGTAATATTTCCTTCTAAACATGGCCAGACGTTTATTTCAAGTAAGATAAAGTTTGGAATCTCCAGTTAGTTTAATACATACCAATGCAATTCTTGCCATCTGGAGTAAGTTCATAGCCTTCATTACATAAACATTTGAACGAACCAATTTCATTAAAACATCGTCCATTTCTGCACACCTGACCAAAGAAGGAACTGCACTCATCAATATCTGTAAATAAACCAGTTAAGAGTTGAACCCTTCTAAGAGGTCTAACAATTAGAATGTATATGCAGGCATAGTATATATCAGTATATTATAAACACATTGGAGTTTCAATATATAATTCCATGGAAAAGACAAATCTTAAGCAGCAAGGGAACAATTGACAGATAGTGGAAAGTAACTCTCCCTCTAGTGCATTAAGGTACATGTTCTATTTAAACAACACCCTCTTTATAGGCTATTATAATTTTTAACTTGTGGTATTACCTCAGCTACTGCATCTGGAGACATTCAACTGCTGCCAAGTGATCCTTTTTGAGATACTAACTTCAGTTAGTAGAAGAAAATGCTAGAGAAAAAAATGTTACTTTGAGTGTTCTGGGTTTTATCTAGATTTTTATTTGTGCTCAAGTTTCCCTTGAACCTGCTTTGTCATTTTTCAGGTTTTTAAAAATGTGTATTACACCTGGAACGAAATCACCCTGCTTCCTACATTCTGATTCTCTAGTTCAGGAAAACTTAACAGAGAAAAGACAGCTTTCAGATGGCTGAATTAGCTCCATAACACCCTTTCAGTAATGCAGACAAATACCTTAATGCACAAGGAAAATGCAGGAGAGAGAAGTGTTGGGTTTGGATGGAAGGAAAAGAAAAAATAAAAAGAGCCAGGTAGCGTAAGAAATGGGATAAGTCTTCTGAACAGATAATCTACCTGGTTTAGAGAAAGTTTTAAATAATAAAGCATAAATTATTTAAATTGACAACACATTTCCTCCGAAGTATCTAGTAATGGTTTCAAAACTATATGTATGGATCATTCACCTGATCGAGTGAAGCAGTGACTATATCACTCTGTGAACCATTCTGTTTCCATACTACTTATTTTATTCAGATATTTGTATATGAATATCTCCTTATGATGGGCTATGCTACTGTTCAATGTTTTGGGATGGGCGGTGGCATGGCTGAAGAAAAAATCCTTGGGGCTCCAGATTGGGAATACAGGTGTACATGGTCATTATTGTGAGTGAACTTGAGTGTGAAAACACTACCTGGAGCCATAATGGGAGGTAGCTAAGGGCTACTCAGAGGAAACAGATCAACAGCTATACTGCCACAGATAGAAAGGACCTCCTCTGTGAACTACAAATTTGTCCTGTTTATGGGATAGAGTTTGTTCTCTTCTGCAGTAAGTTTTGATTTTTTCCCCTCCTAGAAAGGGAAGGGAATTAGAAGATTTATTTATAAACTGTTTTTTGGTTTTCTCTTGGAACAAAAAGACATATGAAGGCTTTTTTTTTGTATCCTTTCTGGAAGCAGAAGGAATTTAATAAACTTTATTACTTCTTTTTCATTCAGCCCCTATGAAAGTTTACTCTCCATTCAAAAGGAAGGAATCTCTATAGACATAGACCACATACAAGCATTACTTTCTACCAGGAGAATCACCATTCTCCCAGTAGAAATGACAAGTGTACAAGCCAGTTCAATGTTTCTCAGGAACAGGTCCCTTCTGGAAGATCTCTCCCTTGCAAAAACAAATGTTTGTATACTCTTCTGCCAGTCTGGCTCAGGAAGACAAGGAGCAGCTGGAGGACTGCCCTGGGCTGGGGAACATGGTGGGGACTTTATCCCTTGTTACCTCTGCTCCTGGCTGCAGGGGGGCTGCAGGTGCTGACTTTGAAGTGTCCCACACATCAATATGGGGAGAAGCTCCCCCTATTCCCACACAGCACTTGACAGCCCTGTATCTGCAGCTCCCTGCATACAGGGTAATCAGTGCTGGCTTTGATATTAAATTAAACCCCCCCCCCAAACAAATAACAAAAAAGCTGGTGCCTGCAGCCCCGCTGGGGTTCCTAGTTTGGGGAGCAGGTGGGGCCCTTTGCCCTCTTTACTCCCATCCCCCAGGACAAGGAGGAGTGGAACAGCCTGATCTCTACACCTTCCCCAGACTGATCACTGGTCTGGAGAAGGCATGGAGAGGAAGGAAGAAGGAGAAGCTGCACACTAGGTGCCTGAACTGTTCCATCTCCAAGAACAATTTCCTGCAGGGAAATGAATGCCTGTTTGTGGCCTTAACCTGTCTTCTAGTCCAGGAACTGTCTCATAAAATGATCCAGGAACTGTAACTGTACAAAACTATCAGAAGTTTAGCAGTCTCCTTTAGAAGACAAGAAACAACAGTAACTCTGAGTAAGAAATAATTTCAGAAAGATAGGGCAGTCTGGGAAACGAATTGATATTTTTTTGTACTGAATTCCTCTTTCCTGGTATCATGCTTTTGAGGAAGGTTCAGCTACTAAGGGCTAAGATGACCAGGTGACAAGTTATTAACGTAGTGATGGGTATTATAATGAGGAAGAGGAAAGGAAAAATGCATTATAGGTTTGGGTAAACTGTCACTTAAACTATCAGTCCCTGATGCTCTACTAGGACTGAAGGGCATTCTGCACAAATCTTAACTGAGAGTGTGGAGTGATGCAAAAGTGACTTTAAGCCACAGCTGAAACACCTGATCCTAGAGCCATGAACATCTTCGACTAGTTCCAGATAAGATTTTTGCTGACTACCAATGGGTTCAGGAGCAGCTGGCTGTAAGGGGTCAGCCGCATCTCTTTTTCCCCATACATCTTCAGACTGGAGAGAAGGTGCCAGGAACAAATGTGATAGTACTACTCCACTCAAAAATTCCTTGCATAGAAGCAGTGCTCCAGCAACTAGACTTACTGGATTTAGGGCTGTTTTGAACTGTCAAAGCAAAGCTAAACAGCTCCAACCATACAAAAGATTAGAGTTTATATTTTTGAAGAGTAAAACAAGAAAAACATTTATGTTCATGAAAAAAGAATAATTAGGTGAGAAAATGGTATTAACCAAAGCTCACCAAGGTAACAGATAAGCAGTGTGTATTTATCTTTCCTACTATTCTGAATCAATATCTGATTTTCACTTTTGTTTTGTTGGTTATTTTACATGCAGCTGCTGCGACCTCAAAGTAGTAGCAGTGAAAGGAAAGTTTGGGTTAAAGCACTTACCCATACAATCATTATTATGAGTGAGCTCAAATCCTGGGTAACACAGACAGTTGTATGATCCAACCGTGTTTTTACAAGTTCCATTTCCACATGGATGGCGCTCACATTCATCAACATCTGCAGAGAGAAATGAACTTGTACAAAGGAACTTGTCTTTCCAGCTGTGTGTTAAGGTACTAGCATTGTAAATTTCAATCTTTTATCTCAGCTTTTTAACAGTAACATTTTAGAACTTATTATTTTTGTAGCAGTTCGCAAATTCTTGTGTAAATAAGCAGGATATTATTGTGTAATCAATTGTTTACATTTTTTTAATAACGGAGACAATAAGACAGGTTATGATAACAAGAGAAGAGAGGCTGACAGATTGAACTGTGAAAAAATTTCCCTCTTGAATCTTGCTGCTGCCACTAAGTGTGGGTGGACAGTAGTGTAACTTGGGATGGGCAAGCAGGACACTGGCCCTGGGTACCATCTCAGAGTGGGCACAAGAATGGCAGGCAGCACTGTTGCTGGCCTGGCCACCACTGCTGCCCTGGTTACCCCTGCTACACAGCGCACAAAAAGTCCTAGTTACTTCTCTGTGGGCAGGAAGGACAATACAAATTGCTTCTGGAGCTCAGAGATATGCTCAGTAACTGACTGCAGACATTTGGGCTGCAGGTTTCTGAATTTACCTTAAGGTCCCATTAAAAAAGGGGTCTCTTGTAGTTAGTCACTGTAATCCTTTTGGGCCAATGATAATCCCTTCTTTTTGGTTCATTCAGCCTGTAGCACTGTTCTGGTTGCACTCAAAATGAATAATAGTTTGCTTTGTACTTAAGCCAATTGGATGGTGAATCTGCCTGTGCAGATGCTTTAGATGTTAGAATGCTTTTCTGAGTATCAATACTAGTTAACAGTATAGTACCTGAGTGTCTCTGGCCTCCCCTTAGGTTTACACAATGTTTGTGTATGGTGTATTTTATAGCTGTGATCCTATTTATATTAATATGGGACACCATCTCGCCTGTTCTTCTTCACATCATATTCCTATGACAACTACAAAGAATGTTTAAATAGAAAAGTAACACTAAGAAAAGACAGAGCGTCTTTTAATGTGACTTAAATTTTGGAACCACAGAGAAGACTTAAAATGTTAAAAAACATTTGTCCACAAAGCACTGATTTGAAAACTGGTAGGTACTTGATTCAAGTGCAAAACCTCTGAGCTATTTCTGGGGTTCCATCAGCTTTTAAGGCCAGGGACATAGCTGCAATATGTGGTAACTATAAAATTCATTTATTTCATTTTCCCTGTTAAGGGCTGCACGAAAGGAGTTGATTTAGCAGGAACAGGACTTCCAACCATGCTACTAGATCACTGGAATTTAGGAGGAGTCTAGAAATTCATCATAAAATATTGCAAGAATTTTTTAGCATATGCAAGAATTGTGAGAAGATTAATCAGTCAGATTCTAGGTTCTTATCTGTCCTCCCCGATTTATATGTGTTTACATGCTATTTATGGTTATTAATTTGTGGGAGGCAGGAAATTTTAGAATTTTTGTGTTAAGAGTTGGCAGGATTCCAGAGATATTTTTTTACAATAAGCATAGGGCTGTGCGAAACGGCCCCATTCCGTTTTGACTTGTTTCGAGGTTTTGATGGAACAGTGCTTTGTTTTGAATTTCATTTGGATTTGAAATCGCTGTTCCATTTTGTTTTGACGAAACAGTGATGCTGTTTCAACGTTTCGCCCGTAGGCTATAAGGGGGAAGCTCGAAACTGCCTCTCTCATCCAGCAGGCAGATCGGGGGCCCGCAACCCCAGGAGGGCTGTGGGGACTGTGCCAGTCCTCCCAGGGTTGCGGGCACCTGATCTGCCTGCCAGATGAGGGAGGGAAGCAGGGTGCTGCCACTTGGGACCAGGGAGCTGGGGAAGGGAACTGAGCCCAATTGTGAGTTCCCCTCCCCAGCCCTACAATCGCACTAAGGAAGAGTTCATAGCGCTGGGTAGGGGAACTCAGATCAGCTGGGCTGAGTTGCCTTCCCTAGCTCGACTGCAGCGCTGGGGAGGGGAACTCAGCCCAATCGCAGCACCGTGGAGGGGAATTGAGCCCAGGCTCAGTTCCCTTCCCCTGCGCTGCGATCAGCTTCCTACAGCCCAGCAGTGGAAGATGCAAGGAGAGCTAGGGCTGTGCTCCCTGCCCAGCTAAGCCATGTGGGGCTGCTGAGCCACTGGGAGCACAGCCCTGGTTTTCCTGCGTCTCCCACCACCTGGCTGCTGGCTGCTTTGAAATTCACAATGTTTGAAACTTTCAAAATGTTTCGACTAGCCTTGTTTTGTTTTGAGGCTGTTTCAAAGCCCTTCATTTCAATTTCACTGTTTCAAGCTCGAAATGAGTCGAAACAGTGTCAAAACGAAACAGTCGGCAAAATTGCTCACAGTCCTAATAAGCAGTTGTTAAAAGCTTTATATTTCAGTCCCAAAAACTACTATTTAAAAAATTACTACATTTACTATTCTAAATAAAAACTCTTTGGAAGTTTACTGTTTTTTAAAATCAGTTGACCAATTACTCTTCTGAGAAAGTTTGAGGCATATGATTCCATTTAAAAATGAAAAAGGAAGATACATGGATGCACAGCACCATGTAAATGATTGTAAAATAAATAAGAGGAACCAAATTCTGAAACATGGGCTATATGTCTAGAAACTGAATTTGTATTTCCCCTATTAGAGACAGAATTTACATGAAAACCAAAAGCAGCAGTAGACATATTTTGGCCGTTCGTCCAAAGCACCAACCAGCCACACTAAAAGGAACTGAATTCGTTCATGAGTTAGTTCCTTTTGACAATACAGCGTTCAGATTTAAAAAAAAAAAATCTAAACAGAAAACATGAACAAAAATCCTTCATTTTCCTATTTACATATCTCTCAGGAACAGCTCTTTCCTGTCACCATTTCAGCATACTGGGAGTTTGGATTTAATCACAATAAATGCTAGGTTTTGCCCATTAATATTAAGATAGCGTATATATGGCCAGATGGAGACACAGCATATTTTATTCCAAACAATGCACTTTGCATTTTATTTAAGAAATTCAAAGTTGTCTGATATATAGGAACCAGGGCTTTGATGAAACTTTGACTTCAATATGGTTCAGAATTTCTAGATATTTTCCACTGTTTAGAACTCAAGGCATTAACTTTCCATACCCATGCACATAGTCTGGTCCTGGGATGCTTTAAAACCATTGTGACAGATGCACTGGTAACTTCCTTGCATGTCCACACACAAGCCATGACTGCAAACATTAGGAATTTCCAGGCACTCATTGCGATCTATAACAAAAGTATAAAACACATGGTACACATTATTTATTTTTATTATTCATTCATTTTTCACAAACATGTTTTTAAAATCTGTTAATAATTATTAAAGCCAGATTCAAAATCACTCATAATCAAAAATGAATCATAACAAAACTGGCTTTACAAGGAACTTTCTTTTTGTCTACAAATGTTGAGGTCAAACTACTGTTAGAATATATCTGAGACCTCAAGAATGTTGTTTTAAAATTTTATCCAGTTTGTTATGAAAAAAGAAACTTACCTGGAAAATAAATGTGTGTGCCTGACCATAGCGGAAAGCACAGAAACACACTAAATTTTTGTTTTTCTTGTGCCTCCAAGGGAAATATGTCCATTTGAAAGATACAAATATATGCATCAACTACTGGTATCAACTTATTTCTCACCAACACAGGCTCCATTGGGTGAAAGTTTGAAACCCGCAGCACATTCACATCGGTAACTGCCAGGACTATTGATACAGTCTGCATTTCTTTGACACAGGTTGTCTCCATTGCTGCATTCATCAATATCTGCAATATCAAGAATCCTGGATCAAAAGCTAGGTACCATACTATATTTGCTTTGATGGAGACTGTAGACTACACTTTTAGTCTTGTGCAAAGATAATCTGCATGCAAATTCCCTAAAACTGACCTAATTCTACTCTCACTGACAAAACAACTCCACTGAAGTCAATGACATTCCATCAATGAAATATAGGCTAAAGAAAGTATCAAACTTGATTAAGTCAAGCCCCTGTCTACTATATTGACAAACTGTAAATGTCTTTATATAACTCAAACCAAAGGAGCAATTAACTATAGCAACAGGATAGATGGTGCAGTTGGTTAGTATTCTAGCCTGCTACTGTGAGGATGCTAAAAGTCAAAGCAAAAGTACCACTGAATTCAGAAGGGGCAGTATTTCATCTCCAGACTTCAAATCAGAAGTTATGGTACAAGTGAAAGTCAATGTGGTAATTAAGTCATCATTACAAGCACATTGCATAGTCGGGCATGACTAATAAGAGTTTCAGCCTGTAACAGTACTGATAAACAGGTCTGGAATAAAGCGCATTGGCAAAATTGTTCAAGAGGGAGCTTTTGGTCCTTACAAGAGGAAAGTCCTTACAGGAAGGTAATGAAAAGATCTGTTAGCTAAAAAAATAGTTAAAGACCCCAATAAAGAGACAGCAGTTGATTAAAAACAAATGTAACAAAAACTGACTGGAGCATGTGGGTACCGCTTAAATATATATATATCCTGAGTATATTTTGTCAGCTGGGTCACTGAAAGAAGGCCTTCAGCCTGCTTCCCTTAAAGTATTCATGGCAGAAAAAGTGTGCATTGCTACTTCTCTTCAGAATAAACATGCTTGTGGAGAGAAAAAGGAAATAAAAGCCAATCTGTCATTCAAAATCACCTTCACAAACCAGGAGCAGGTCATTGTAGCTGAATCCTGTGGGACATTCACAGCGGAAACTACCAATCTGATTAATACAGACACCATTTGCGCAAATCCCTGGAATCTCCTTACATTCATCAATATCTGAAAGTGAATTAGCATTAGTTAAATGCAGTACTGCATAGCTTTATGTACCCTATCATAGATTCACTATGTTAGCAACTAAGCTGAAGAAACTTCACTCAACATCATATAATTAAAAATAAATATAGGAAAAAGAAACATGAGGCTCATGTTGACAATAATGAAAATAAATTATATGAAGTTCAATAAAAGGTGATGCAGAGACAAAGGTGGATTGTAAATTACAGTTGATTAGCGAAGTGCAAGAGGGAAGATGAATGAAGTTGGAAGGAAATAAGACTGAACATTATACTGGTAATAGTTTTTAAGGCATCTAGCATGTGGAGAAGTTCCCCAAATTATTTAAAGCACCTATCAACCATGGAGAGGGACAACAAAAGACAGCTGGGTCAGAAGAGGATACTGGAATTAGAACAGACCTAATACCATTTTGAAAAAATTATTCAAAACTTTTGTTTGTTTGTTTTTTCTGAAAGTATCAAGAGGAAGCAGAGAAGGCTAGAAGACTATACAGCTAAAGAGGAGAGCTAATAAAATCAAATGCTATTTGGAGAATGAAGGGAAGGTATTTTCATACAAATATTTTACTAAAATGATTAACCTTTCCTATTCCAAGTAAATCTGAATTGTAGTGACATGTACACTACAATGTACACATATGTACACACATACTTAAACTCTGTTCTCATAATTTATAATTTCACCAGAACTTTAAGATTAGAGTTTTATAATATGTTGTTGGTATATGGTATTTATTGTAGCATTATTATATTGTTTTGACTGCAGCAAAACATTATTTGGCAAAAATATATTCAGCAAAACTTACCAACAGCTTTGCCAGTATGGATGTCAAAGGTGAAGCCAGGAATGTTCCCACATATGGTCTTAAATTCAGCTAAAATAGGGAAAAATACAAATAAAAATGTATTTTAATGAATATTTATAAATCCCCTAAGAATTATTTTAAGTTTCCTCTGCTTTCCATAGGCAGTTTGAGCCAATTCTGCTAGCAGTAGGGAAGTCATTGCTGCATGCCTCAGTAATATTTAAGAGAACAGATGCCAATAAGCAAAGCTGCCGTTGGGAGATTGAGTCACATTTTCATATATCATCATCTGCTCTGTTTGGACCTAGATCAGATACATGGCTTGGGGAAAGCAGTATTTTCATTTCAGTAGTCCTCAGCTTATTTTCTGAGGTTTGCTACTGCTTTCTAGTCTCTCACAGAGAGCATCTAGAGGGGCAAAATGACAAGTTTAACAGTAACTTTGAATGTATTCTCTGAGAAAATGTTCATGGGTCTCTCCTAATTTCTGTTCATCTTCAGAGATCCCAGTGATTCCATTCCACTAGAATGAACAGATACTAAAGAGAAATGTAGGGGACTGATACATTCTTTAATCCAGCATCTCAAGGATAATGGATATACACATCTATTGGCTTTCACTACCATCAGTTGTTGCATATTTTTCAAGAAAAGTTTTGTGATGTCTACAGCTCTGATCTGCAGCAGCCACATATTTAAACAAATTCATTTACATTAAAGTAATCTTCTTGTTCTACTATTCAGTGGATATGCAAGTTAGTGCAGGATATCAGAGCAAACTTGTTCAGCTAGTAAACTTGTTACTAACCACCCATGCCAGCATGAGTCTTTACCAGAACAATGTTTGTAAGAAAAATCAGTACACTTTCATAGTGAATTTTTAAAGGGAAAAAGATGCCCATTTCAACCAACACACACTTCTGAAATGTCACACACTTAGAAGCATATCTATTTCAAATTTGTAAAATATTAGGAGAATCATGTATTTTGCATTGAAATAGGACAGATGGAGACAAAAAAAAAAGTATTGTGAGAACATGTACAGACACATTTTGTTCTGAGATATAAATACGGTTTTCTTTTGGACATTATAATATAATAATTTAAATAAAATGCCAAATGATTTAAAGAGTCTAAGATTAAATTTCTATATTAAGAACGTTAATGGAACCAAGACAGAGTGGATCCTCACTCACTTGGAAAGCTTTAAATTAAGATGGAATATCTTTCAAAAAGATTTGGATAAAGTTTACAAAAGTAACTCGGTCTAAGTCCCAGTTCCATTTCAACAATGACTTAGGCACTAAGTATAGAACGCTGCCTTCAGAAACTAGAAAAGAACCTCACATTTCTGAGTCTCAACATCATTTACTGCCAGCAAACACCTATGTACCCATTACCGAAGTTATGCCTCATCTCTATCTACTACTGGCTGACACCGGAGTTGGTAGTAGATGCTAACCAATTCCAATGGTGCTGCAACCTCAACCAAATGGCAGCCACTTGAGGAAAAGCAGAGAAGAAAGAGTAGAGGAAGGTAAAGGACAAAAATCCCTATCTAGAGCCTACACTCCCCCGCAGAAAGACCTACAACTTCTGTGGCTGGTCTCTCCTGGAACTTCTGATCTGTGACTCAAGGACTGGACTCTTAAGTCACCTCAAGACCTATCCATGAGCCATGGTAGAGATCATCCTCAAATCGGGGGCTTACCATCCCTGACTGGCTGACCTATATAAAGAGCAGGAATCAATACTGCTGCTAGTTATTCTGTAAACTCAAGTCTTAGAGGATGATGTGGTGGGCCTAAAGGTTCCAGTTCCTGTGGGCGCACATGTGGCTATGTGATGCAATTTCTGTTTGTCTCAGTTTGATTTTTATGGGTAAAAATAGTATATGCTTAGATGATAATGACTGTACCACAATGCATAAGCACAAAGAGACAAATTATTTACTGCTGACACATCCCTGCTTTTGTGTTTTGAACTTTTCAAGTGTCACACTAAGTCGCTTCTAAATATCAATATTTAATAGTACCTTTTCCAGAAAGTGAGTGACATCTGAGAGGTAATGGTAACAACCCCCTCAGAGTTCCTCTATTCCTAAAACTGGACAATTCAGCAGATATAAAGATTTAGTCATAAACACGAAGTGATGGAGATAGCAAAACACTGCAGGTAAAAACCATTTATTACAGCAGGTTTGGGACCTCCCTAATGATAATGGGTGTAATTCACAACAACATGAGACATTACACTCTACAAACTGTTACCCAAATACATTGTACAGAGCAAGAGAGTTTGTCAAACAGAAATATGAAAAAAAATGAAAGAGTTATTCAGAAAGAAAATGAAAAGGCAGTGGCATGTGAAGCTCATTTAAAGGAACAATATACTTCTCATCAAAGTATAATAGTGCTTTTAATGAGCTATTCAGCTTAATTTAGCAAGCTGGTTAAGGTCAACACGCCATAACCTTTGCTTCTGTGATGCACAGCCCACACCCAGACAGCAGAGCATACTCATTATCTCACAACAAATATAGCCATTCAACCATTTACATTTGGAATTTGTGTTTGATCCCCCCACACAATCCCCCACTTTAGGGGAATAAGAGATCAAAAATGCCTCCCACTGCAGCCAAAAAACCCCCAAAAAACAAAAAAAACCCTTAAGAGAGAAAAGCCAACAAGGTAGAATTGTGAGAGTGAGCTATTTTTAACCCTATAACTACTTACAGAATTGCTTAAATGGATATTTTAATGGACATTTAAGAACAGCTACAATAAAATGACATAGTGAGTGGTGTTTTTACAGCCATGTGCTGTCTTATTTTTATCATGATGGTGACATTGCAGCTTATCACAAACACATAATATGAAGTTATTCAACCATAATTACTTTGTGGTTTTCCATACCAGCAACCTCCCATTTCCTATTTAGGTCTTCATCTCTCACATCTGGTTGCTAGAAGAATACTTCTTTTTCATTCTTCCTGCCCAGCTTCTTGAAAGGGATTTGGTTTCATCCCCTATTTCTGCTTCCTGGGTGCTTTGTCACTATTTAAATTATTTCTCTCAATGCCACAAGATAGACCAGGCAAAGAAAAAGGACCAATTAAGGTACAGGGACTCTACAAAAGATACCATGCAAGCTGAGTATCACAACCTATGATGGAGTAGCAATACATCTATTATTGTACATGGTTTCCTAGTGTATTATAAGGCTTCTGCTTAGTTGACTGCTTAGCATTAATTTATGAACCGTACGGGCTAACAACGGATTTGATTTTTCTGCTACACAACCAAGTCTCTCCTTTCTAATTTTGTGCTTTAGATAGCTAAAAAATGAATGTTTACTTCATTCCTTTCCTGAAATCCCTGGCACTGGGATGGAAAAAGGTAATCTAGAAGTGACCATCATGTTTCTAAACTTTCTGATCTTTCTACTGGATTCCTAGATGCTGATAAAACAAAACCAGAAAATATGTCCAGCATCTATATGACCAAGGTTTCCTCTTCTTTTGCATCACACTAGAAATGGATTACGCAACTCCTAGAATGAGAAGGTAAGAGCTCACAGAGCACAAAACCCTCCATCCCCCAATTTATAGAAACCTCCCTGCTCAGTTTGCTCCTACAAGATGGTTCATGGGGTACATGTAATGACAGCTGACTGTCTGGGACTGTAGTGTAGTTAGTAAGTCATAGAATCATAGAAAATGAGGGTTGGAAGGGTCAGTAGGTCATCTAGTGCAACCCCCTGCTCAGAGCAGAACCATTTCCAACTACATCATTCCAGCCAGGGCTTTGTTGAGCTGGGTCTTAAAAATCTCCAAAGATGGAGATTTTATTGTCTCTCTGCGTAACTTGTTCCAGTGCTTTACCACCATCCTAGTGAGCACATTTTTCCTAATATCTGATCTAAACTTTCCTTGCTGCAACTTGAGTCAAGTCACTAAGTACACTGCACTTCACTTACTAATTACACCCACCTTCATGGACAATGAGCTATTAAAGTAAACCCAAAGCAGATGGAAGAATCACTAAACACAGCCAGAGCCCTCGCTCTGTGTATGTTAGCAATACCACAATGCAGACACGTGCCCAGCATTACTGTCTGTCTTCAGCAGCTTGGCATCTGCTTTATAAATGAGAGCTCTGCAGCCATCTACACAGCAGCATAAAAAGTGGCTTGCTCAGGGGTTATCCTTTGGCAGTGGACATGTCTACACAAGGTGCTGACTGATCAGTAGCCTGATACTACTGTGCAGTAAAGTTGTGTAGCAAAAACCGTGCCAAAATGCTACTGTGCAGTAGTATTAGGCTACTGCACAGTAGTGTCACTTAAAGGTGTTCGGTGGCGCTACTGAGCAGTAACTCCAGTTACCGCGCATTTATTTA